GTTAGTCTTCCAATCAATATGATGAGCATAATAATAATAATAATAATAATAATAATAATAATAATAATAATAATAATAATAATAATAATAATAATCATAATAATAATAATAATAATAATTTTAATTTTCATCTAAGAAATAACTAAAGTAATATTCCGTGAGAACTTTAAAATTCACAATTTTGAAGCGAGGATCACACATAATATTAATTAAAAAATGTCAGGTATGTACAAGTAATTAATAAGAGCATTGGCAATGGCAAGTCAAAAACTGGAATGCCACACGGTGACATGGAGCATTCCAACCAATAAAAAAGAGTCCAGTCAGCGTGTGGCGAGTGAGTGGAGTAGCATGTGATGCAATGGCAAATAATTGTTGTTTACACTTTTGTGACATATTTTAATTATAAAATTTTTTTTACTTATCTTTTTTTCATAAAAATATATGCACTTCATTTTTTTTTTAAAAAAAACCTTTTTTCTATAAATAAAAAAATAAAAAAAATAAAAAAAGAATAAAAAAAATAAGAAAACAAAGAGAAGAATGACTTGCCCAAGCCATGCCTTGCATGGAAGAACACCCAAGCCACGCATGGCAAAATGAGGATATTGGTGATGTGGCATGGCATGGGAGGCATTTGCCTCGCCACTGCCAATGCTCTAAGTACACTACTTATCTCACATGGGACACATAGGAATACACGAGTGGATCGGCCATAGTTTCATAAAAACATGTAACAATGCTAATACACTCGGAAAAGAATATGTTACTCATTGGTTTGTAAATGCGTGACAAAGATGAAGTTGCATTATTAAAAACATCAAACACGTTGGATAATTTTTCCACAAAAAATTACTCTTTTTCTTAAAATTTCAAATTCATATTTGTGACTAAAAATGTATTTTTTCGTCTAACAAAAAAAATTTAAGATGACAAAGAATTCACAGTGACAAAATTAATATATTTTTTATGGGTTTTATGAGTTAATCTTAAGAGTTACTAACTCTATTTTTTAGGGAGTTGATAATGGCGCTCCATTAATGTTAGTGGCGCTCCACTTTGGTTTTTTATTATCGGAAGTTTACTATCTTGCCCCTCTACTTATAATACGGAGTACTGTAAAAGAAAATTGCTATTCATAATGCCTTAGTGCCTTTCATTCCCATTCTCCACCCTCTTTTTATTTTAAGAACATACCCATTTTGCTAAAAAACATATGTTCCCTTCGCTTTTGTGTCTGCTACTAGAAGCGAAAAGATAAATCGAAATATATTGGGATTGAGACCGGAAAAGATGGAACTAAAGTGGTCCTTCAGACAGTCGGATTGCTCATTTGGTCCTTGATTAGATCGGGTGATCTTTTTCAAAAGACTAGATCGGGACCGAACTAAATATGTAATGTATTTGATACTTTAAAATTTGCGATTGTGACGTGGCAATATAGCCTCCACCACAAAATAATTGATGCACACATAACCAACATAAATTTGGGTTCAAAAAAAAAACAGAAATTTATACTTTAAAATTTTATTTTTATATAAATATGTTTATCCTATCAATATTGAGCATAAGACTTTACATTTTTTTATAAATTTACTATTAAGTGATAACAAAATAAAAAAACCTCACACGTATAAAACATAAACATTAAAATTTATTTTTTTCGTTGATTTTTTCCAATTTCTACTTGAGATAATAATATTTATGTTGCATAAATAGTTCTGTATTATAAATCAATGAAGTATAGAAATAAAAAAATTAAAAAATATTATTACATTATAATATGAATGATTATTCTAATATATGAATTAACTAATTTTATTTTATTAAAAGATAATCATAAAATAAAAAATATTGATTATATTATAATATGAATTATCATTACAATTTTCAAACGTTATTATAAAGTCAAATCAAATTATTGATTTGAATTTTATATCAAATTATAATTAATCAGATCAGATCAGATCCAATTAAATCAGATCAGATCAAAACTACAAAATATCAGATCAGATCAGAAAAGAAAGTTGAACGGAACGGAGCCTTAAACCGGTCCTAACGGGACTATCCGGTCCTAAAAATTTCATATTGTTTTATGAAGATCGGACTAGTCCAAATTGATTTAAAAAATAGAAATCACCCTAAATAGGACTAAAACATAGAGAAAAGTATCAAAATAGGACTTTCATGTTTTTTTCCCGAAATAGGACTTTGCACTGTGGTAATGTGACTTTGCACTGTGTTAATGTGGCAGTGTAAATGTGCACATTATTATACTTTTTTGGTAATGTATATGACCATGTTTGGTAATGTAAGTCCTATTTCGGAAATAAAAACATGGATGTCCTATTTTGGTATATTTTCAATGTTTTAGTCCTACTTTGGTGTTTATCCCTTAAAAAAACCGATCTTGTCCTAAAAAGTACCGGTCTTTTCAAGGGACCAAATTCAATCTATATCTCGTCTAAAATTTTCACAAATGTAGTGAATTTCTTGAAACATCCCAACTCTCACCCAAATTCAATTTATGACTAGTACCCCATAACTTAAAAAAATAAATCAAATTTAATAAAGACCAAAAATTGTATAAAAATGGCTGTAAAACCCCAATAGCAATTAAATTACTAGTAGAAGGGCAAGTTTGTAAACTTTTGACAATAATAAGGCAAAGTGGAGCGCCACTAACATCAGTGGAGCGCCAATATCAGCTGCCACTTTTTAATACTCCAATTCATTTTTTGAGTGAATAGTTTGATCCATGAGATTTCTTAAAATTAGGAAAATGTTATTAAAAATCTTTATAATTCAATTTGTAAAATATATATAAAATAAATTCATGAAAAAAATGGAAAAAAATCAATTCCTAAAAATTAAATAAATTTATTTTCCAAAATAAAAAAATTTATAGTCACATTTGATATATTTCACAAAAAAAATATTTTTCTAAAAATTTAAAACAATCACATTTATTTTACAGTTGAGTTTTGCTTGAATTGTCAAGTGAAATTATTTTAAAAAAAGAAGGAAAATAAATATAGTTACATTTTTTCATATAAAATTTTTAAGAGAATTATGTAAAAATAGTCACATGTATTTTGCACCCGAAATTTCTTGCGCTTGATATTAATTTGTATTTAAGAGAATGGTACATGTCATTAATATGTACCTCACTTTTAAACAGATGGGACAATACATAGACTCTGAGATTGACTCAATCCATATCTTAAATTGTATTGCTTAGAACTTTTATTTATGGTAAGATGACTAATTAAGATATGAAATAAGAATAATTCTAGAGTCACAAATAAAAACTCACAAAATTCACAGTCTTACTTTTTGTGCATTTAAGTATTTATTTTTTTGATTATTCGAAACCATTATTTGACACCTTTATTTTACATAATTGGCAAGATTGTGAATTTTGTGATTGTTTAGTTTGTGACTCTAGCATTACTCATGAAATAAAAGTATTTCCATAAGATTTGACTATTTTTTAAATGATTGAATATCTAAAATAAATAAATTAGAAAAAAATATTTTATATGGCTTTTGTACTTTATCTTGATAACTTGGTTTAATATTTTAATCAAAATAAACTGTTTCTTACGATTTACTCAATATATACCTATATTGTGAAATAATTCTCTATATTTATGCATAAAAATAAGAAAATTTGAATGAGCGAGGGTTTGCTGCTTATGTTTTCATTTATGCAATCGCATATTGAAACTTAATAGGAGGATATTCTAAGAGAAATATATATTTATGCAAAGATTGTGAGAAAGAAGCTCAAGGCATGGAGGGGAAGGTGAGAAAATGTGTGACAATTAGGACCTAGGCACAAAGATCATCAATAAAGCAATAAAAAGTGCATAGAAAATCCAAGGTGCAATAACTAATAAGATTGAAACTAAGTTACAAGTAACAATCACATCAAAGAAAAATATAATTTCCTATTTGTAACTATTGTATTTTGATAAAATATTCGTGTGTTTAGGATTGAAATGAGCCTTTTAAAATTGAATGTTATATTCTTAAATGGCACATGCTTTATTTATGAAAAAATACATAAAATTTGGAAACAATAATGAGTTTTTAATTGATAAAATTCTTTAATATTTACATGTTTAAAGATAATACCATAAATATTTAAAGGCAAATATTTTACATATATATATGCAAAACAAAAATACCATCCTAGAACATTACATTAATTTTCACATTGCTATCACTTGGGTAGGAAAGAACATGACAATTTCTTCTCAGTGCCTGAAGCCAAATTCCATTACATGAGATTTTATCAACACCATTCCCCAATGGTCAAACAATGCATTAGGAACTACTCTCACAAATCCACCTACATATTGTGGAATCACAACTACTATAAGAAGGTGTATTTAATTTAGATTTTAAAAGATTTTGATAGATTATTTAGAATTCATAAATTATGTAAGTTCGTTGGATTGTTTTAACTTTACGCAGAATTAGTTAGATCCTAATATTTTCTATCAAAGGATTTTAAAGAATTTCTTTTCTTTTTTTCTTTTTTCTTTGTCTTTTCTTTTTTTCCCTCCTAACCTAGGAACCCTAGGGGCTTCTTCTATAGTTCTATCCATGTCCGTTCTTTCTATTTTTTTCTTTACTTTTTTCTTTTTCTTTTCTTTTTTTACTTCTTTCATATTGATGAATATATCCTCTAAGTAATGAATCTTCCTAACTCAATTTCAGTTCAAATGCATCTTTAAGAAAAACAAAATAGGAAATGATAAAAATGAGAAAGATAAAACATACCAATGCAATAAAATAAATCTCTGAAATTAACACTTTAACCGCACAGAATAATTGGACAAAGAACACATCATACTTGCAGAGAATGTAAAAGAAAAGATATCTCTAGAATTAGATTTTTTTTTTAAAAAAAAATTGCACAATAATGAGCAAAATAAATAGATAGAGGTATCTAATAAACAAGGGGTTTGAGAATTTTCGCATTTTTCGGACAAACATCACTGCTGGGCACTGGGCAGTGCGAAACTCCCAATCGGCCGAGGGGTTTTCTCTTGCACTGATTTTTCCGGCGATGGCTGATATTGAATCCGGCCTCTCAAAGCCAGACATCAAGTTGTTCTGAACGTGAGCCAAGAACTCGACTCCCTGGCTGGTCGGTAAAATTTGATCTTGCCGGAAGTTCCCATTGAAGTTGATCTTGCCGGAAGTTCCCATTGAAGTTGATCTTAGGAGGCGGCGCCATAAATTGCTTGAGAATTGCTTTATTTATCCTCCGAGAGTTCTTTCTTCTCATTTCAACACTGTGAGCTCTATTAATTTCTTGAAATCCCGTGCACGCTCGAAATATGATATAGGTTATTTTCAACACTCATATTCTAGACAGTCGACGTTTTTGTAATAAAAGAAAAAATGGGTCATTCTCAGATACCTAGGAGCTGAAAGAAAATCACCATCTCAATGGAAGTTCCGGTTGAAGAGGCCATTGCTGCCCTCTCCACATTCTCATTAGAGGTATTTGAATGCAATTTACTCTGAAATTTGTGATTTCAAACAATGTCTTTCGTATTGTTCATTCTCTTTCCATTTTATCGCTTTGTTTTTACTCAATTCTATGGTTAGGATAATCAACCAGAAGTTCAAGGGCCAGGGATCTGGGTTGCAGTTGAAGGAGGTGCCACCAGCAGCCCAATCCGTAAGTAGAAAGTTTCTTTTTTTTGTCATTTTCAATATCTGTGTTTGTTGTGTGTGCTTTGGATATGATTTCTTCCAGCAATTTTTAATTTCATGCATACTTTGATATGGGCATGATGTCTTATGTAGAGTACAGCGATGTGTCTGCATATAGGTTGTCACTTTCTGAAGACACCAAAGCTATTAATCAGCTGGTATGCACATATTTCTTCCCATGATTCACCATTGTCACGTAACAGTCTGCGTTGAATGTTGTTGGATTTGTACACTACACACTGACAAAATCTGATATGCTGCATTTTTTAAAATTACTGATAGTAGTGCTCAAATTACATGCAGGATGCACTTATTCAAGAAGGAAATGAAATCACATCTGTGCTCTATACATATCGGAGTTGTGTCAAAGCTCTTCCTCAGGTTGGTTACAACATACAAGGATTAACTGGTTTGGTATAGGTACAAAAATAAACTGGTTTGGTATAAATGGTGGCACTATATGTAATTGAACCACACATTTACTTCTATATCTATTTGGCATGATTTGTTTGGTGGCCTATATGTTATGATTGAATGATTTAGGGACTTTTTGTGAAATTATAGTCATAACAAAATCAATGAGAAGATAGGTTTATGCAATTTTCCACGTGTTTTTATTATATGATTTGTTCTTTAAGTACTATAAGTGCAGTCAATGACGAGATTTGATGCAGTTTCAAATTCTTCCCAATTTATGATTTTAGTGTAACTGGATGCTACCTTTTTAAATATGTATATAACTTTATATACACCAAGGAGGCAGGAGCACAATCCAAGTTCATTCCAAAGAAAAGAATTCCTGTCTTTGTGAACATTTAAAATTGAAATACTCAACACTTGTTAGTTTCCTGATTGTTTGTAAATGCAAATGTGCCTTCAATTGTTCATATACTGTTGGAAAAAATGACCCTCAAACAACAATACAAGTACACAACAGACTCTCTAAAGATATATAGAGGATGAACAAAATGTGTAGAAAAAATAAAAGAGCAACACAATATTTTTACATGGAAACTCCTTTCAACTAGCGGGAAAACCACGGCCCTTTCAGATTAAACTTCTTCACTATAATACAAGTACAACATCTCAATCATACAACAATTGATATTCTCTCTCTGCGAGAATTTTCTCATAAATCTTGTCTCTAATTATTTTGATGTTTTCTCATAAATCTTGTCTCTAATTATTTTGTAATCTAATCCCATCCAAGAAAATTCTATATACTCCAAAATTTGTATTTTTTCCTATTTCAATGGTTTTGCACATAAGCTGCATTTTTAATTATAATTTTTAAAAAGTTAAACAACAACTAACCCAGTGCATTCCCACAACTGGGGTTTGATAGTTATTTCATATTTCAAACAATGTTTTGTCAAACAACTATGCCACTCTATCAAACATTATTTTTGTGAGATCAAAATCTTTTTAAAAGTTACAGTTTTTTCAAACCACATAGCACTCTTGTTGCCAAAATAAGTTCTTGTTTGCTCGTGACATATTTATTAAGTAAAAATTCGGTGGTTAAGATAAAATAATAAATGAGAAATTTTAAACCAAACAATTCTCTCAAAAAGAAATGAGCATATAATTTTGGGATGGAAGAAAAAAAGATTGATAAGCTAATATCATTAACAAACATGGAAAGACTACTCTTTAAGATTTCCTATGCATCATATAGGGATTGAGATGGCTTAGTTCGTTTTCTAATCCTGAGTTCACTTGTTTCTTTGCTATCCGTGTCCATCTTTAGTTCTAGCGATACTTTCACTTTTACCATCAGCTTCTTTGGGTCTATTGCAGCTTCCAGAATCTATGAAGCAAAGCCAGGCTGACTTATACCTAGAAACGTATCAAGTTTTAGATTTGGAAATGAGCCGGCTGCGTGAAGTTCAGCGATGGCAGGCGTCAACAGCATCTAAGGTTGGAATTTTACTCTTGTGCATCTTGTCCAATGCTCTAATAATCACTAGGGATTGGTCAGGTGTTAACCTGCCACCTATCACCTTGCTCGCCGCCTACGGGCGCCTAAGCCGCTAGGCAGACCATCTTCGTTTACTGATATTTTATTTTGTTTATCGATGAGCTGTATTTTTTAGCTCATATACTTTTTAAATGCTACTCCCTCTGTCCCAAAATCATCTTCCCACTTGCCACTTTAAAATGCTTCATAGTTATCTTCTCATTCCCCTTTTTGGCACACAATGTTTACTCTTTTAAGAAAAACACACTTTTACCCTCACCGACCTACACCTACATATTAATTACATTTTATTCCATTTTTACTAAATTTAAAAACTAGGTAGTGGCATTTAAATGATTTCCCTTTGACTCTTAGTCTTAATGCCATTTTCACATGAGAAGGTGATTTTGGGATGGAGGGAGTATATTTGCTTTAAAACTTTAAATAGTAAAATATTTAACATGGCATAGAAAATAGAAAGAATAAAAATTGTGTTCTTGAAAATGTAATAGAGATAGACTAATGGAAGATCAAATGTTCTCGTTTAGGACAGAGGTAGAAAACAGCCTGGCACATGGTCAGCTGATTAGCCATTGGCTGCTTAATCGTCTCCGATTTTCCAATTAACTAGGTCGAAATTAGGGTGCCTGCCGCTGCCTAGCCCAATTTTTTATTAAAGCAATTTTATCCAGAAAATGAACTATTAATATGAGCTTTGCCTGAGATCTTTTGCTTGTCACATTTATTACAGTTGGCAGCTGACATGCAACGTTTTTCAAGGCATGAGAGACGAATAAATGGCCCCACTATAACTCACTTATGGTGCTTTCTCCCTCCAAGTCTCTATCTATTTGTTCCCATTATCTAGTAGTCGCATGCTCTGAAAATTGTATTTGGATAGCCTTAACATGCCCAAGATGCTAAACGCAATTTAAATGGTTTAATAAGTTAGATCTTTGGGTATTTCAAATATTTTGGAGTGTTTCTTGGGCGGAATTATAGACTTTTCGTTGACTATGGTACTTGCATCCTGGATTTGTTTTTGAGATGAAGACATTGTAGTTCAGTGTTACTTGTTATTTATGGAGTAGTTAATTATTAATTGTGCTGACATACACTTAAAACTAGGATTTTGCAGGAAATCCAAACCCACTAAGGGAAAGGGGGAAAATGACTTCAGGAAGTCATTTTCCTCTATTCTGGTGTTTGGCAGGAATTGGAAAATCATGGTCATAGGAAAACAAGTGTTAGTCAAAAGGAAAATGAGGCCACTATTCCGGACTTTGTTAATTTTTCTCTGGAAAACGTTTTCCATCTTTCTCTTGGCTTCTCTCTTCGCTCCCTCCTCTCCATCTGTCCCTCATCGCCATCCCTCTTCTCCATCTCCATCGTAACTGCCCTCCCTCATCTCCATCGTAATTTTGTTAACATTCCTCTGTGCCGTTTCTACTCTCATCGTCGGCGCTCCTCATCTGCTTATCACTGCCCTCCCCTTGCCGATGTATGTGGCATTTCTATTTGTGAATTCCATAGATTTTGTGTTGATTTTGACTTAATTTTCCATTGATTTTGGTTTGATGTGGCACTTAATTTTCCCTTTGCAATAAGGTTTTGGGCAATGATTTTGGTTTGATTTTTTGCCTTCAAAAAGTTATTCATTTTCTGGAAAATGAACCAAACAGAAAGACAAAGATTTCATACTTTCAATCAAACATCTGAAAAGGAAAATGACTTCTAGAAAATAACTCATTTTCTAGAAGTTATTTTCCAAAAGTCATTTTCTGCTTTTTCAAACGGACCCTAATTGGAGAACTTTCCTAATTTCAATTTAAAAAGTATAGTAACTATTCTATCTTTTTTAAATATAAGTCTGCGAGAATGTCTGCTCTGGACTCATGTCTCTCGTCCTTGCTTGCTTTTCTTGTATCTCCATGTCTCTCTCTCTCACACACACACACACAAAACCAAGGAGATAGGAAATGAACTTCGCTACATGTTATAGCATTTTACAAATTGTATAGCTGATAATGGCCTTCTTTCTCAACTTTATATTCAAGCTATCCTGACTACACATTGTAGTCCTTAGACTCCAGTTACTAGACCAGACTTTAGACTCAAGTCCCAGACTATAAATTTCAGATGTGGAATCTATAATTTTTTTAAAAACTATATTCTTTAATTATACTTGGGTGTATTTTTGTAGAAGTAACAAAAAGTAATCAAAGTTATTGTGTGTGTGTGTGTGTGTTTTATGCTATATTGGTAATTAAAATTTAAAATTATAATTATTGTGTTTTAACAAAATTTTCTCACGACACACATTTATGTTCTGATTTTTAGAATCGATTAGATTAATCTTCTATAATGTTGATGTGATGATGCTTTTGAATTACTTGCAGGTCCATGTTGAAACTACTTGATATTCTTATCCAACTTGATCATCTTAAAAATGCAAAAGCAAGCATACCAAATGACTTTTCTTGGTATAAGAGGTAAGATTGTCATATTATTATTGTTGTTGTTGTTGTTGTTATTATTATATTATTATTATTATTTATTAAAATTATATTTATAATAATTATTATAATTCCTATTATTATGGTGTTTTGGAGGCGTCTTCATATAGTGTTTATTGACTTTGAGAAGGCGTACGGTAGGTGAGGGAGGTCTTGTGGAGGTATCTTGAGTCAAGAGGAGTTCCAATCACATACATCCATGTCGGCCAGGGATATATACGGCGGCGCAATGACTAGGGCAAAGACTGTCGGGGGCAACTCTGGCTCTCTGAGCCTTCTCCGTAGAGGTGGGGTTGCACCGCGGATCTCTGCCCTTAGCCCTTTCTTGTTCACCCTGGTGATAAATGTCCGGATGCAGGGAGTACAAGGAGAGGTCTCGTGGTGCATGCTTTCTGCTCCTGATATTGTGATTATCAATGAAACCCGCAAGGGTCTAAACGATAAGTTGGAACTGAGACTCAGTAGGACAAAGAACATGCACAACATGCACAAAATATTCCATTCTCTTACTCTTGATTTCAATGGAAATAAAAAAAAGTTCGGCAAAAGTTGAAAATAAATATTGAAAAGGAAATAAAAAAACAAATGAAATCTAAAATAAAATTCCATGTAAAGAAAAAAAATCAAAATTTGAAAGAAGAATGAAATCAAAATTGTTGTCATTGCTCACTAGACACGCCTTTAATTTATAAAGATTCGCCGTCAAATCCAGCATCATCATCACTCTGGATCGACCTTTGATTTTGCTAGATCTGCTACAAACAATGATTTTGAATTGTTTTCATCTTGTGTTGTCACAGACCAACGACGGCATTCAATTTGAAGAATCGTAGAGAGGATAGAGACGAAAAGAATAAAGGGAAGATGGAGAAAGGGAAGGTGGGGAAAGAGATGAAGAGATGTGATAAGGTTAAGAGAAAGTGAAAAGGGAAGAGGAGTGGGGAGATATGGGCTGATTTTGGCTCCATCGGAGATGGAGCCAAAATTTCACCATTTTTTGGCTTTGGGGTGTGATGGAATAAATCAAAATGGATCTCTAAACAGTCTGCGCTTCTTTAATTAATGAAGTAGCAGTTAGTCAAGCAATGCAACTTTCGACGTTGAGCCGGGGGTCTCTTTGGAAACAGCCTCTCTACTTTCGAGTAGGGGTAAGGTCTGCGTACACACACCCTCCCCAGACCCTACTTTTGTGGGATTTAACTGGGTTGTTGTTGTTAATGTCAATTAGGCCCTGTTCTTTTGGGTTGGGAAAATTAACTTTCTAACTCTTTCCAGTTTCTTCTAATTCTTTCTAGATCCTTCGAACTCCTTCCAATTTCTTTTATTAATGACTTAAAAAAGGTATTTATGTATGATGAATATACAATAACAACATATATATAAATTTATGACATACCACATCAACCACGGACAAGGATGAATTTTTTAATCCAAAATTAGAATTTTCTTATATATTTATTTGGATGATCATTCGATTGAATGACTTTTTAACACTTTAAATCTTAACATTTTTCAACTCCTTCCAGTCTTTTCCAACTTATTCCAATTTTTTCTAACTCCTTCCAGCTTCTTCCAGCATCCAACTCTGAAATTCCAACCCAAAAGAACAAGGCTTTAGTGAGGAAAGAGGGGTGGTCAGATTTGGGCCGATTTAATGAGGGTGGGTGTTTGAGGGTATTAATGCCATATAGTGTGTGAATAGTTGCTATTTTTGGAAATGGGAAGATAGTTTCAGGACGGCCCGCAAAGGAAAGGGAGAAGATAATTTTAGGACTGAGAGTAGTTGTGTAGGCGCCTTGGGCTAGGAGGTAGTTGTTTGCAGTTGTTGTTGTGTGCTTTGTATGCCTTGAATGTTTGGTGCTATTTGATTGCAGTACTTTTTCTTTGTTAACTTTTTGTTCTTTGCCCTATGTGCTTGGTGCGCTCTGCTTTATGTATCTTGTGTGATCATTTTATCTGTGCAGCTTGAGCCCGGGGCATAGTTATCACGACGCCAAGGCAAGGCACAACGTTAGTGGGTTGCCTGGACGCCTGATCGACTAGGCGGATGCCTAGGCGCCAATTTGGCGACCAATTAGAATTTAAAACACTACAATTATACAAATAATAAAACATAATATAATTTATAAATTAAAAAATTTAGAGTCATCGTTTAATAGTTATTTAAACAAAATTAAACACACAGTGCCAAAACTCAAACAAAATAAACCACATTGTCAAAACTGAAATATCAAGATTCAAGAGTCAAGAAAACTATCATAGTAAAGGCTCTCAATTCCCTCATTATCAGCCATGTTATGAGGTGGAGTTGGTGGTTGCTGTCCAAAGTCATCCTCAACATCTTCATCATCATGTGGAAAGTCATCCTCAACTTCTTTTGTACGACTGAACCTTTATTAATAGTTAATACTATTACTAAGTAGTACTTAGTGGCTAGGGTTAAAAGAGTTACGGATTAAAAAATTTGACCACTGGTCAAATGACTTAGGCGTCATAGTCTTACGCTTGGACGACAAAGCGACGCCAGGGTTGATATGGCAAGGCAAACATCCATGGTGACCCTCTCTCAGCGCGTGGACGCCTAGTCGGTGCTTAAGCAATGCCTAGGCGACGCCTTAACAATAGAGGTCAGGGGTCATTTGGAAATAGCTTCTCTACTTTCGTGTAGGAGCAAAGTTTGTGTACACAAGCACACACACCCTTCCCAGGTCCTACTTTCCTCGGGATCCAACGGGGTTGTTGTTGTGTTGTCCTATTATTATGATTATTATAATTTTTATTATTGGCAAGGTTATTGTTATTATTATCACTATTATTTTGAGCAAGGTTATTATTATTATTATTATTATTATTATTATTCAACATTCATTGATCATCGATCTTTTAATATGCCTCCCTCTATGCATTTGTGATATTGGACAAAATGTTATACATCATACCTTGGTGATGAATTTAAAAAGCCCGTTCTTGGCAACAATAACAACATACCTAGTAAAATCCCACACGAAGTAGGGGTTGGAGAGGGTGAGTATACGCAGACCTTACCCCTACTTGGCAATCAAAATCACAGTAGCAGTAACGAAGTATGATTAAGGGCTAAAATGTATAAATAGATAATAAGTAAAAATACTAACTCAAACAACAAGACCCAAAGCTTACACGCATGAACTACAGACTAATGCATACAAACACCTATGACCTAAAATACAACCAAATGCGTAAAGACACCAACCAAATGCATAAAGACACACTAGCCAACTACTTTGATCTTAGATATCTAGACATTCCTATTTAAGGTCATATCTTCAATGAGATCCCGTAGTTGTAACTCGTGTCTAATCACCCATCTCTTTTTTATCTCTACCTTTACCCTTCTTCACGTGATAACGCAAGCTTCTTGCACCTCCTAACAATGGTCTCAACACTCTTCCTAACATGCACAAACCACTCTTCCTCGAATTACCTCGTTCCATTTCTTACCCAACCTTATGTGACCATACATCCACCTCAACATCCTCATCTTTGCTACTTGAAGTTGATGAATATGAGTTTTCTTCAGTGCCCAACACTTTACTCCGTATAATATAGCGGGCTGAAAATACTTCCCTTTCATGTTGGTCGTTATATTATCGTTGCAAAGGACATCTGAACCAAATGACTCCAATATGATGAGCATCCCCATCTAACTTCCCATATGGCCGAACCATCAAACAACCGTACCAAAACTTGTCTATTTTAGGCACTGGATGAATCAACTCTTGCTTCCATTTCTGACTCAACCGCTCAACCACAAAAGCAACATTCCACGCACTCGGTTCTAGTCATGTTAAGACGAGAACCTTTGGATTCCATGGGATGACGCCACGCTTTTAGCTTATCATTGAATTTCTCTCGTGTTTCATCAACTATAAAATGTCGTTAGCAAACAAGATGCACCAAGGTACCTCCCCCTGGCGAAATGGCAGAAGTTAGGCTGAGATGGTTCAAAAATGTCAAAAAGAGTTGAGAATGCACGAGTAAGGAGATTGTACGACCTCAGACGCTACCAACTCTTCTAAAACCAATTGGTTTAGAAGAGGCGCATACCCTAGCCTTATAGTGCATTCAACACACAAGCGCCCACGACATTCGATTGTGACTTGGCCCACATAGCCTCCGTCATGAGACAATTGATGCACACATGGCCAACAAAGGCGTGAGAGTTTATTTATTTATTTAATTTTTTGGGAAAAAGTTTTTATTTATTATGGATTAGGGCGAATAAAGGGGTACAAGCATGTCAAGGGAAATTATAGAGGCAATGGGGGGAGATAGAGAGTAAAAAGTATCATAAAAAATACAACAATTGCTAAAGGCTCCTCGTTTAGCTAATAGATCAGCCACTCTGTTGGATTCTCTGTAGGTATGAGGGATTCTGAGGTTGCGGGAGTTGATAAAATCCATGATTAATATAGGAGTTATGAGAGGTAAGGTCGAAGGTGACTGTGGACATGATCAAGTTTGGCGGTCAAAGATTATGATAGTGGGCATAGTTTTGAAAGGCGAAAAGCGAGAGGCAGAGGAGATGGCCCCCTTTTTAAGGCTAAAGGCGAGGCGAGAGGCGGGCGTCCAAAAGGCAAACTTGGGGCATACACTCACTTACATAAAATATATAGTGCAGTGCAGTTAATAATGTCAATCCCAAGCAAGGCATACATGCTAAATAAAACAATTATAGTAGTTACTACATATGTTTCTCAAAAAATAGTATTTAATACATAAAAATGTATTAAAAAAATGGCAACCCATTTTTTAAAAGGCCCATGGCAGGTAAGGCGAGAAAGGCAAACAACTCAGGCGAGAAAGGCAAGAAAAGTGAGCAATTTAGGCGAGAAAGGTGGAAAGAGCCTTGCCTACAGGCGGTAGCCCAGACACCTGAGTCGCCTTAGGTGAGGGATAAGCTCGCCTTTCAAAACTATGATAGTAGGGTAGTAGGTGGCTTAATATGTGTCCTACTGGTTTTTGAGGTGCGGGCTAGCTTGCCCATCTCATTTTCACTTGTTTTTTAGGGCACACAAACACTTGTTCTTTGTGTACTAGAGTATGCTGCTCCATTTGTAACGTATTTTGTTTTGATGCTTGCCTTTTTTATTTCTTTCCTTTTCTCTTCCTCTTTTCTTGTTTTGTCTTATATTTTACTTTTTTCTTGCCAATCTACTTTTATTTTATTTCTTCGAGCTGAGGGTCTATTAGAAAGAGCCTCTTCACCCCTCACAGGAAGAGGTGAAGTTTGTGTACATCCTATCCTGAACCCTCCCGTGAACCACTAGTGGGATGACATAGGAATGATAGGATATTATTGATTTGTTGTTGTTGACTTGTTATTGCTGACATGTTGTTGTTGACTTGTTTTTGTTGTACTATTCTCCATTATTGGCTATTGGGAATTATTGAGCAAGATAATTGCACAAATCCTTCTTAATAGATTTTATCTTGTTCAATTCCTCTTTGGTTCCTAATCTTTCTATCATGGAATGTCACAACTTTTTTGCCATACTTGCAGGACATTTACTCAAGTCAGCGTGCAGTGGCAGGATACAGATTCAATGAGGGAAGAATTGGATGATTTACAGGTTTGTATGCCTATTTACTGCTTTTGGTGCACTGCTCTATAAATTACCCTTTGGATACTGACCGTTAAAATGGGATATGCTTGCAGATCTTCTTGAGCACCCGGTGGACTATTCTTTTGAACTTGCATGTTGAGATGTTCCGCGTAAACAAGTATCCTTTATCAGAGCATTTATATCACCTTAGTCAAAGTTCTAATCATAACTGTGTCACTAGTAATATTTTGTCCATTCTACTGCATAATTCTATTTCTTCTTTTATACTGATAAAGTCTATTTTCCATTGTACTTTTCCTTTTTGAGCTCCTTAATTTCCCATAGTGTTGAAGACATTCTTCATATTCTCATAGTTTTCATTGTTGAATCCTTGGAATTGAATTTTGCACTTTTGTTTCCCGAAAAGCACATTCTTCTTCGTGTTTTGCCTGTGCTAGTTGTCTTAGCAGCATCATCAGAAAAAGACAGCGAGTCGTTGTACAAAAGAGTGAAACTCAACAGATTAATTAATATATTTAAGGTATGTACTTTATTCTACTACCAATATGACGTGAAAAGACATGCAGTGGTGCTACGTACTTTGATAAACCGTGCAGACTTTATGTGTTAATAATGATTTTTTGGGGTTAAGGGTCCACTATATTTTCAAACTGAAAAAACTTCAATTACATGCCATACATACCGGATCCTTTCAGAACTACTATCAGCATTCAGCACTTTTTTGCCATTCAATTTCTGGTTGTCTTTATGTGTAGGCTTGTATGCAGTTTTTGTTGATTCAGACATTGTGTCTTGAGAATTGAGATTATAGAGAGAAGCGTGCTTTCACATGTTTTTGAATGGCACAATGTTTGAATCAACAAACCAGATCCTTTCAGAAATCAGAACTACTATCAGCATTTGGCACTTTTTGCCATTCAATTTCTGGTTGTCTTTATGTGGAGGCTTGTATGCAATTTTTGTTGATTCAGGCATTGTGTCTTGAGATTATAGAGAGAAGTGTGCTTTCACATGTCACTCCTAGGACCCATAATTTTAATCTTATTCGAACTCGAATATCGCAGTAATTAGCCTTCAAATTTTACACATTGAGTAGCTAAGTTGTTAACAGAAGATGTATTCAAAAGAAAGACCCGTGCTACTTTTTATGTTATGCAGAATGATCCTGTCGTCCCTGCTTTCCCAGATTTGCATCTGTCTCCATCAGCAATGCTAAAGGAGTTGTCAACATACTTCCCAAAGTTCTCCTCCCAAGCTCGTCTTCTGACTCTTCCTGCAACTCATGAGTTGCCACATCGCGAGGCACTTGAATATCCTTTACATTGGTTATGTTCTTGTTTACATATTTATTATTTTTAAAGAATCATCATGGTGTGATTTTGAGAGGTCTTTTTCTCCTCAAGGTTCCTGTTCATTACTCTTGAGTAAAGAAAAGTCCTGGTTATTCCATTCTTTAGTTATATCCTGCTTCCCAAGGCTTTTATTTTATCCGCATGGACTTATATTATCAATTAGATGTTAATTATAATCCTATACAGCTAAAAGAATGAGATTTTTGGTAAGCAAAAGTCATGACTTTATACATTCAATATATCATTTAATTTGATCTCATTAAGTAATAACAGGGTTAGAATGGATCAAATGCTTGCTCATAGGCACTTCTTATTCTTCCATTAGAAGACTGGGATGGATAAGGAAGAAACATCTTGATGCTCTTTAATGATATGATCCTACTATTTAGTGAGAAATGGAGTCTCCTAAATTAAAGCTTGGCCATCATGTACGGACAACTAACATGGGCTGTTGTGATATGCCTTTATAATCATCAGGCTACTAATTTGGACAAACAATACATGTTTGCAATATGCTTCTCATCCGTTTCAGTACACAATTTGGACGAATGGTTAACCGGTTAGTTAACCGCAAAGCAAATACTAGTGTTTCTATTGAAGTAACTTAAATCTTTTGTGTATATTAATATCTTTATTTGATATGTTTCTTTTGTTTAATACTCCCTTTGTCCCCCATAGATCTTCCCATTATGCGTTACGAGGCTTGATAGACTTTATTTTCAATTCAATTTACTTGATTGTATTTGTAGGTGTAAAATTTAAAAATAAAATTTATATAGTAAAAAATCACATGAAAAATTCTACAAAACATGAGGTGACAAGACTATATTTTATGAAATGAGTAGTAAAAATAAGCGAACAAAGGGAGTACTATGTATATGTTAGATGATATAAGGGTAAACAACTCAAGCTTATGCTTAAATTTTTAAAAAAGTTTAAATGTATATTTGATAATTGGTTAACCGAAAACCAAACCGAAAATGCGGATAACCAACCCAAAAGACCTGTTAACCAGTTTTCCAGTTCGGTTTCAGATCATAAACTTTGGTAAACCAAGTTTTTGGTAATTGAAATCTGGTTAACAGATATTTTTGCTTCGGTTTCAGTTCTCAATATATTGCCGAACCAAAATTTCTGATAACTGATTTTTGGTTATCAGATTGTCTGGTTATCCGATCATGACCACCCCCATCGATGTTGATGAAGATGTTTTCATTGGATGTTTTGAATCATCAATCGTCAAGATACATTGTTTATTATATATATGCTTACTTTCGCTTATGTTATTTTGTGAATGCTGCCACCCTTTGATTATAAGTTATCATGAGATTACCTTTAGCAATGCCTTGACACGGTCCACTTACCAGCGTCAGTATTTGATTGTCAACCATATTGGGGCAATCCGTATGGAGCATGATGATTTCACTATTCGCTTTTCATCAGCCATGAATCAGGTGCTCTCTCTTATTGTGTTTAGCACTTGATGAATGCATGTACATACACAAACACAAGATTTTTCTACAATGCCATGTGACATCATTTTTCTATTACATGATGTACTACCCATGACATTCCAATAGAGCCCCTTGTTGTTCCATTTATGGAAAAGTTTGCAGTGCATAATTTATATTGAAATAAGATTTGCCGATTTGGTTTGGTTTGTCTTTTTAGTAATTCATCCCTTTCTAAAAATGAAATTCGTTATGGTGTTGTATGACAAGTCGACAACCCAGATGAGCACACACACATGCATTATGTAGACAAACTCTACTTCTTGGCTTTATAAAGTTTTAAAATTCCAACATAAACTATTGTCCTGAAGCACATGGAGTTGAAAAGTTTCTTACTCTCATTATGTAGCTTGTGCTGCTGAAATCAGTAGAAGGTGCTGACATTGAATGGATCAAGGGGGTCAAAGGAAACATGTACGACGTGGTTGTTGAGGGTTTCCAGTTGTTAAGCACATGGACTGCTCGTATATGGGAACAATCTGCTTGGAAATTTTCACACCCATGCAAGGATCCTGTTTCAAAAGACTTGCACGAACCTGCTGGATCATTTTCTGACTATGAAAAGGTTTTGTTGTATTTTACTTTACTCACCATCCCTAGTCAATTAGGAACTGCTGTGAAACTGTTTTTTTACATGCAATAAATTCAAAATGATTAATAGATCAGCTCACCAACTCCAGCTCAATAGGTTCCTATTGATTGTCGCAAAGACAACAAAACAATGATACGGAGTATATCATATTTGGCATTAGAAAATAGTATAGGTATTACATATTCAATATAATGTACTTCCTCTTCCAAAAGCACACAACATTGTAGCTCCCCCGCCCCCAAACCCACACCACAACAATTTGCTTGAATTTCACTTCTGGGCTGAACTAAGTCAGATACAAATTGTAATAAGATGGTTCTTGGGCAGTGTACAGATCTCCATCATGTAACCAGTTCAGATTCTCATTTGACAAATTATTTAGGATTCTTTCACCCATTGGGGTATATGAGTGCTTCTTTGTCATCATTTCAAATATAGCTTTTGTTTCCTCCAAGTTATTAGAATGGTGTTGGTTAAAATTATAAACTGAATGTTCTATGTTTTGTTAACATAGGTGGTTCGATTTAATTATAGTGCTGAGGAAAGAAAAGTTCTGATTGAACTTGTGAGCTACATCAAAAGTATCGGATCAATGTTGCATAAGGCTGACACATTAGTTGTTGATGCCTTATGGGAGACTATACACGCAGAGGTTCAAGATTTTGTCCAAAATACTTTGGCCTCTATGTTGAGAACTACTTTCCGAAAGAAGAAGGATCTCTCCAGGTGCTGAGTATGGGGGATCTATCTTTATATATTAGAGCATTGGGTGGTTATAAATTATTACTGGGAGCTGCTGACTAGACAAGCATATTAACAAACTTTTATGAACATCTCTTACTGGGCTGTGCTGTCTTCATTTCCATGTTTTCAGGATTCTTTCTGACATGAGGACTATTTCAGCAGATTGGATGGCAAATACTACCAGGCCTGATTCTGATGTCCACCCATTCTCGCATGGAGGTGAGGAAAACAGAGGGAACTTCTTTTATCCAAGGCCAGTAGCACCGACTGCTGCACAGGTTTTCTTAATGCATTTCAATAGTATAAATCCATAATGCGTTAAAGCCCCTTAATTTTTGTTTTTCTGTAAGATGCGAAAGGCACTGTCATAACTCATAAGTCAGAACTATCTTTTTCTAGGTAAATACCAGCTTTATGCCTCCCTGAACTCGCATAGGCCGGGCACTTTGTTTGCATTGAAATGGGTGGTGGGCTATATATTGATGATTTTACAATTTTTTCTCCCTCCTAGAAAATTTCGCTTCTCAGCCTCTTGGGCAGCCTGGTGCACAAAATGCTCCCTCTAGGCGAGGGTGCGGGGAAGGGTCCCACCACTAGGGACTAGGGAGTAATGTAGGCAAACCTTACCCTGCATTTTTGCATGAGGCAACTTTAAGGATTTGAATTCACGACCTCAACGTTAGTACATTACACAAGACCTTGTTCTAGTGCCAAATTTTTATTTTCCAGTAAAAATCGGGTTGAAACTAGGTTTTTTTGTTGGAGTGAGATGTAAACCCTACTGGGAAGATCCAATTGTGTTGATGAAATCCATTTTTGACAACTGCATTGTTACTACAAAAAATAAAATTCTTGAGTAAAGACCATGAAGAATTTGATTGTGGTTCTGATCTAGTGATCTCTATAGAGGTTTTGTGCATCCATTGTCGGCATTAAGGTCCTTTATCCTCCCATGAATTAAAAGGTCCTTCCATGCAATAACCTCTTGATTTCTCATGTAGTAAAAAAATCCTAAATGGAATCTTCTTTCACTTATCACGTGTCCTGCAAGTCTGCAACTCCTGTACACTCTTATCCATAGTTTCCAAATTCCAAGTTTCCTTATCTGCCACTGGCTTGATAGAGGTGCAGGATGCTTTCACTGGGATCGGAGGAGCAAACAATTCTCCCTTAGCTGAACCGATGGCACAACCCAGAATTGAGTAATTCTAGGTGCAGTAAGTGGTCAAGAAATAGGTTAGGTTATATGCCTGAATTTTCCAACATATCCCTACACATTAAACAATAATAATATCATAGGGACATGATGATAAATTCACACATTACCTCTCAAATGTCTAAACATATTTATTACCCCTATCGTTCATTCGTTCTTTATCAAGAGTGAAGTCCAAGTGAGTCTGAGTGAGTGGGTTAGCACTAGCTTCAATTGCGATATAAGGAGAATAATTCATACACTGTTTGCTCATTTTGTAATTACATTCTGAAATTGTTAGTTTATGTAATAATGTTATTCATCAGATTTTGCTTAGGTGGATAGTTATGGTTTTAGTTATTGGATCAACAATTTTTGCTTAAGTCCACAAATTAATATAAAATAGCTTTCAAATATCCAACATTCTTGCAGGCATATTGTCTGCAGGCTTTCATATATTGTAACATTTTGAAATAGTTAATCTGTCCAAAAATTTGAATCTTCATATTTCTGTTAGGTGAATAGTTTTTGTTTCAATTATTGGATCAATAATACGGTTCAAGATAGTCCAAATTTTCTTTTCACATACAAAAATTACAAACCTAGTTTACTCCCAATTTTTCATTTCATATATTGTAGTTTTTTTAATGATAAATCATATTTTGTATTTGGTTATTCTGTTTTCTGGCAGGTACACTGTCTGCAGTTCCTCATATATGAGGTTGTGTCTGGTGGAAATATGCAGAGGCCAGGTGGTGTTTTTGGAAACAGTGGCTCAGATATTCCTGTCAAAGACATGAAACAGTTAGAGACATTCTTTTACAAGCTTGGCTTTTTCCTGCACATTCTGGACTACTCAGGTTCGTTGGATAATGCTTTTATGCTCATAATCAGTACCAATAATGTTGATTTTGTGCATCACAATTTTCATTTGGTTACAAACTTAAATCTCTACAGGTGTAGCTATGTTCTCAAAGTTCTTTCTCAACTACATTCGGTTTTCGCAGTTTAGTTAATCATTTTTCTCCTTGCTAGTTACCATCCTCGTGGTTCTTTTTAAATTTGTTAGCTCCCCTTATAATAAATCATGAAAACTTGTCTTTTTTGAACTTTTTTTTCTTGGATACCTTTTCTCCTCTTCGTCACCATAAACCTTAACTTAGTTGAGTCAGTGGCTTGCAATTGGTTTGCTTCAGTTAATAATCTAACTCCACAAGTGCATGCGAACAAAAGCATAGTGTCAAGGTTTAAAACTGGATGGCGTGCTCTTCCTGTTGCAGCCTTCAATACAAAGCAATAATGAGACAACATTCCAAAACCGTCATCATCATAGGTTTTTTTAATTTCATAGAAAATGTCACGAGGCAGTGATTTTTTTGGTACAACGAGGCAGTGATTACAACAACAACAACATTACCCCAGTGCATCAAGGGCTCCGGGTAAGGGTGGTCGGATGTACGCAGTCTGACCCCTATGTTTAAAGCATAGAGCGGCTGTTTCCAGATGACGAGCGTTGAAAGTTGCATTGACCAACTGCTACTTCACAATTGCAAGAAGCGCAGACAGTTTAGAGGGCCAATTTGCTTTATTCCATCATATCACAAAGCCAAAAATTTGAGATAATTTCTATAGTCTGTCCCATTCAATATGTTGAATAATTTGGCTCAAGCCTAACCAAGCTAATATGACTCATTATTTTAAAATTCATAGGTTACAACTTGATTATTTCTAAAGACTAAGTGCACTGCGTGTATTGAAAAATGTAGGGTCTAAGCCTAATGGACTAAATCCTATGGTTTCTAAACAAAGGTTTCTATATTTTTTCTATATGTCAACACCATGTCACCCACTTCGAGCTAGAGCATATGAAATAATGCAACTAGCTTCACCCAAGAGTTAAATTTTGAACTTAAATAAAACTGATTTTTAACTGTGCCTTGAACTTTAACTTGAACCTGAAACATCAACTTCATTTTAATCTTGAACCTTTTTTGAACAAGACTTCACGCGCTCTTAACATAGCTTGTGAATTCAATTTTTGTAGTGACGCTTGGAGCTATTACAGATATGGGTTTCTTATGGTTTCGAGAATTCTATTTGGAATCTTCCAGAGTAATTCAGGTATACACTGTTACATATACAAATATTTACAATGATGCTTTTTGAGCCTTTAACTTGTACAGAATTTGCACAGAACTCTCTGATTTGTCAATTTCCCTTTCTGGTTTATACTTTTTTACTTAAAGTATTATGATTTGTAACATTTCTGCATATCAGATGCTATGATAAAAGGACGAGAGGGGAGACATGATTGTAAATAGGGATAAGAATCGATATGCACTCTACTTCTACAAAACCTGAAATTACACCCCTAAACTAATACCTTATTTAATTCAATGATGTTATCATTCACTTAACATGCGGGACCCAATGTGGGCTACTGACATAGAATTGTGAACATTGGAGTCACCATTGTGGCGACAAGAACATCTGTCACAGATGAATTTCCAGTTGTTGAAAAAAGATTAAACGAGGCAACTTGGTTTTCTCCCATCTTTACCCATATCTGTTTATGGGAAGGGATGCAGCCATTTGACTAAGGGAAAATATTGTGGTTGATTGGTGGCACAATTATATATACCGGAATATGAAGCTCTTGATTGTTTTCCCCTTGCAAGACTCGAATTTAAGATCCCAAGTTAATTACAAAAGGAACTTGTTTTAGCTTATTCGAATGGGATTTTAAATGGTCATGGATCACATAATAGTCATGCTAATAAGAGTGCTTATAGAACAATCTAATGCGTGTTAGATTTACCCTTATTTGCATAGAGGTTTGTAATGGTTTGAATTTGTGGATGGTAAGTAGGCAATGCCTCATTGCATCAAATACGAGCTAAGATGTCCCAAATTATAATCAGGAAGTAGGGGTGAAACATTAGCCAGAGAAGATATGTTGGTGGGACTTGAGAGACATTAGAGGCATAAATTATGTGATTCATATCATGCAGTGATTGTCTCCTGCATCTATTGATCTTATTCCTACCTAGTCTTGGAAATAATAAGAATAGATTGAGAGGCATTTCACTATTAGAAATCTATATGTATTTCCATGTACCATATTCTAATGAAGTCCCAATAGTCTAATATCTTTATTTGCACTCTGGATCCATGACAGACTTGCCGGAAGGAACATAGTGAATTCTCCTTTACATTACATTTACTAGCTGCTTCACCCACTTTCGCGTGAGTCTTCTCGTTGCAAACTCTATCTTGTATAGTCTTACGGTTATACGCACACCTATCATTCTACCTTATCATAGACATCTGCATCGCACTCATCTTCTTGTTAGATATCTCTAAATAGCCCAACATTCTGATCTATAAACAAAGGTGGTCTAAAGGCAGTCATATGAGTGTTTTAGTTTAGTCTTAAGAGTATGTTATGAATCTTATGATCACAGAGTATTCATGTTGCTCGTCTTGATTTTTACCACACTACATTGATTTTGTGTCTTGCATCCTTGTCAATATCTCTCTTTTTTCAATCACAAATACTCAAAACATTTGCTTACTACTTCTTTGTCCCATATCTTTCTTCTCGTTTTCTCGTTTTTTTATTTGGCAAATAAATTGTCAAAAAGACTAAATTACCTGCGCTTCTTACTACCCACCCCCATGTTTCTTCTTATTCTTCTTCACGTACACTCCCCCCCTGTTTCTTCTTCGTCTTCTTCAACCTCCCTCTCCTTTCTTCTTTTTCTTGGCCGTACCTCCCCCACCCCTTGTTTCTTCTTTGTCTTCGTCAGATCCCACTCTCCCGCTCGTTTCTTCTTCTTCTTTGGCTAAAGGCGACGAAGGGTTGCATGGAAAGGGTGGTGATGAAGGAGTGCCAATAGGACTCCCTAAGCTTTTTATTTCATTTTCAATTTGTTTTTGATTGTATAGCTTTTCATTTCTCTTCAGATTTCATTTCTTTTTTTTGTTTTTTTATTTCCTTTTTTGTTTCAATTTTGTCCTTTTTTGCTAATTTTTTGGGTTTCTTCCAGATTTGGATTTGAATTTTGTTGAGAGGGTAAGGACGGAGCGAGATTGAGTTTGAACAAGAAATTGAGGTTTGAAGTTGGAAGGCAAAGGTAGATTGAATTTGATGTTGAAGAAGAACATGATGATGAGGTCGGAGGGTTTGCTGGCTGGTTACGGGAGAAGAAGAATAACTAAGAGGAGGGCTGGCTAGTTACGGAAGAAGAAGAATAACTAAGAGGAGGGCTGGCTAGTTACGGAAGAAGAAGAATAACTAAGAGGAGGGCTGGTTAGTTACGGAAGAAGAAGAAGATTGTAGAGTAGGCAAATATGGAGTAGTGGAAAGGGCAAAATAGAAAAGTTAAAGCATTTTTTGTTTAACACTAAAAACCGTGTAAAGTCAATGTTGGAAAAAAGATATGGGACGGAGGGAGTGGTAACTCTTTACCATCCAATTTCGCCCACTACGATTTCCTATATTTCACACTCCAAATGTTTCTTTTTGAGATTTCCTTATCTTAACCCCTCATAATTCTAACTCTCTTCCCCATATTTTGAATTTTGCATTTAATCATTCTTTGGACTCAACAACTTAGTAAATACCTTTTCTTTCGAACTAGAACAACTCACCATGGTGCCTCATCTTGTACACTCGTGGTTAATGTATCCATGATATGATGGTTGAAAATAGGAATGAGTTCAATGTTCTTTCTTAGGTAAGCTCTCCAGTTTTATAAATTTTATTCACATCTTTATTGTAATCCCAACATGAGTCGTCAAAATTAGTGATTGGTGAGGCACAAACCCGAATTGTTATGCCTCATAAACTTTATTACAAAGTTTTAATTTTCTTAGGATTTCCCATAACATTTATAAACTACGGAGGAAGTACAAATTTAGAAACTATGAGGACATCAAAAGTTCTACCGTACAAGAGGTTATAATCAATGAAAACATGTAAGTTAATAAAAATTATATGTGACCCTGGAATAGTAACTAGGATTTTTATTTGGGGACAGAGGGAGTAACTTATTTGTATGGATGAGTAATGAGTAATTGAGTATGCATTCTCCCTTTTCTTCGTAGTGCGAAAAGGTTAGGCTTTTCCCACCCACCATAGCTTCTTGAATGTCTTTTATAGTTTTATACGCCTCATCTGAGAGGTGTTCTAGATCTTGCACATTGGCATTTAAAAGTCTATTAGCACGTTATCATTTTCCGTGCTTTTCTACTATGAACCCATTTATCTGTATTCAACCGAACACATTCATGTTTTTATTTTCAGTTTCCCATTGAATGCTCCCTTCCATGGATGCTGGTGGATTATGCCATTGAATCACATAATGCTGGTCTTATTGAGAGTATACTCATGCCATTTGATATCTATAATGATGCTGCTCAGCATGCATTAGTAGTCCTCAAGCAACGCTTCCTCTATGATGAAATCGAAGCTGAGGTAATTAATACAGAGTAACAAGCATATTGACAATTTCAACAAGTAGGGGTTTATGGATTGAAAGAAACAATGAGAGATCTAAAGTATAGAAACAGTGTGTTTTTTTATATTGTGGAACTGCTGTCCAGAACTATGTTTCCATACATATAAATAGAGGACTAAACAACACAACCATTACAAATAGACACAACGGTTTCTAACCAACACATCTGTTGGAAACTGTCATAAAACTGCCTGTAACTGCCTAACTGCCTGCCTTTTTTTTTTACTTATTTATTTTTAAATTTAAACTATATTCTGGACTGGAATTAACCAACATTCACCCCCTTGATTCCAGTCCTCATTCCCATCCCAAATTTCTTATCGAGCACAGCAGCCCCTTGAACTGATACATGCTGATCTGTGTGGTTCTATTACACCGAGTACACCATCTAGCAACAGGTACTTTTTATTGCTAGTTGATGATTTCAACAGATTTATGTGGGTATATGTTATCAAGTTCAAAGGCCAAGCATGTGAGGCATTCAACAAGTTCAAGAAGTCTATTGAATTGGAAAGTGGTTACAAGGTGAAAGCATTGAGAACTGATCGTGGAGGTGAGTTTGTCTCTACCAACTTTGAACAACTTTGCAATGAAGAAGGCATAAATAGGTATTTAACCGCACCATATACGCCACAACAGAATGGTGTGGTTGAACGCCGAAACCAGACTGTTCTTGGAACCACAAGATCTATGTTGAAGGCCATGAATATACCGCAATGGTTGTGGGGAGAAGGTGTACGACATGCTGTCTACATCTTGAACAGAACTCCGACAAAAGCTTTAGAAATGAAGACCCCATATGAAGCCCTAAAAGGACGGAAGCCCAATTTGGAACACCTAAAGGTGTTTGGATGTATGGCGCATGTCAAAGTGCCAACACCCAAATTAACAAAGCTGTCAGACAGGAGCGAGGCAATGGTACATCTCGGGAGTGAACCAGTAAGCAAAGCATATCGACTTTACAACCCAAAGACAAAAAGGTTATGTGTTAGCAGGGATGTCCAATTTGAAGAAAACAGAGCGTGGGACTGGGCAAAAGATTTGGAGACAGAGGGAAATGAAAGTCAGGTTGAATTTGTTGTTGAAAATGAAGCTTGTGTGACTGGTCAAGGATTGACTCAAAATGGTGGCAGCCCACTCAATACCTCACCCAATCACACCGAAGGCCAGGCTGCTCCAAACGTACATAATGGGTGTGAATCTGTTAGCACACCGGAGAATTGTTCGTTGTCTAGCCCAAAGTCGCCTGTCTCGGTTCCAAGCACTCTTATCAGCCCACTAAATGTTCCTAACAGCCCGCATGGGTTTGAAAATCTTAATACATCAGGTGCAAGTCCTATTTCAAGTTCACATTACGATGATACACCCCCTCGAGGATTTTGCCACCTAAATGATGTGTATTCAAGAACTCAATCGATACAAGAGAAGGCTTTCAATCCACCTCACTTTGATGACGCAGAACTATTACTATCCAATGAAGAACCAAGTACCTTTAATGAGGCCAAAGATAGCAAAGAATGGAATGCTGCAATGGTTGAACTCCCGAAAGGAGTTAAACCGATTGGTCTGAAGTGGGTTTATAAAGCCAAAAAGGATGCCACAGACAATATAATTCCCTATAAAGCGAGACTCGTTGTGAAGGGATATGTCCAAAAACATGGTATTGACTACGACGAAGTGTTTGCTCCAGTTGCTCAAATGGAAACAGTCCGTTTGCTTCTATCCCTAGCTGCACGAGATGGTTGGGAAGTTCACCATCTTGATGTGAAGACGGCTTTCCTTCATGGAGACTTAAAGGAGGATGTATATGTATCACAACCCGAGGGGTTCGAGAAGCCAGGAAAGGAACATCTCGTGTACAAACTGGTCAAAGCTTTATATGGCCTGAAGCAAGCCCCAAGAGCCTGGAATTCAAAGCTAAATGCAACTCTACAAAAACTTGGTTTTGAGCGATGTCCACGTGAACATGCAGTATACAAGCGAACCACAAAGAATGGACCTTTAATAGTTGGTGTATACGTTGATGATCTAATCATTACAGGTCCATGCAAGGATGAGATTGTTGGGTTCAAAAGACAGATGAAAAACTGTTTTGAAATGAGTGATTTGGGGCTTCTAACATACTATTTGGGAATAGAGGTGAATCAAGACAAAACTGGCATTACTTTGAAGCAAACAGGCTATGCAACAAAGGTTTTAAAAAATGCAAATTTGTGGGAGTGTAATCCTGCAAAATTTCCAATGGATCCAAGTCTCAAGCTTGGAAAAGATGAGGAGCTGGAGTCTGTTGATGCAACTGAATACCGAAGGATTATTGGCTGTCTTCGATATCTAACCCATACAAGGCCAGATATGAGTTATGCAATTGGAATAACCAGTCGATTCATGGAGTCACCAAAAACATCACATATGCAAGCTGTAAAACAGGTGCTGCGATATTTGAAGGGTACAATCAATTACGGGATTCAATACAGGAGGAATGGCGATGCAGATTTGGTTGGTTATAGTGACAGCTCACATGCGACTGATCGGGCAGATGGAAAGAGTACAACTGGGATGATTTTCTATTATGGGGGTGGTCCGATAGCATGGTGCAGCCAAAAACAGAACACGGTTGCACTATCTTCATGTGAGGCTGAGTTCATGGCGGCAACGGCAACCGCATGTCAGGCTGTTTGGTTAAAAGGATTGCTCGAAGAAATCACTGGCCAAAGCATGGAACCCATAACAATTCACGTGGATAACAAGGCTGCAATCATGTTAATGAAGAATCCAGTGTTCCATGGGAGAAGTAAGCATATTGACACTCGATATCATTTCATTTGTGAATGTGTTGAGAAAGAGCTAGTAAGGATTGAGCTTGTAAGTGGTGACGAGCAGAAAGCTGATATCTTGACAAAAGCATTACCGAGGGTCAAGTTTATCGAGATGAGGCAACTGATGGGCATTGAAGATTTGGCAGGAATGAGGACTGGAATCAAGGGGGTGAATGTTGGTTAATTCCAGTCCAGAATATAGTTTAAATTTAAAAATAAATAAGTAAAAAAAAAGGCAGGCAGTTAGGCAGTTACAGGCAGTTTTATGACAGTTTCCAACAGATGTGTTGGTTAGAAACTGTTGTGTCTATTTGTAATGGTTGTGTTGTTTAGTCCTCTATTTATATGTATGGAAACATAGTTCTGGACAGCAGTTCCACAATAAAAAAAACACACTGTTTCTATACTTTAGATCTGTCATTGTTTCTTTCAATGTGTAGCACTAGAGTCTAGAAATAAGCGCAGGTTTATACAAAATGTTTTGCATTGGCCAAGCTCTGTATTTCACGTTGATTTTTCTGTGTCTTAATGTACTATACAAACATATTTTATTATTTGTGTGGTTGTGTCAGATTTCCATTCTTCACTTTTTTTACTCGTATTTCAGTGTTTTGCAAGTTCCAAACCTTTATTTAGTTGAATTGGCTACTCTTTCTTGCTGATGTTGATTGCTTGAACACATTCAGGCAGCAAAGTTTCCTTATTATTTTCAATTTATTTGTGTAACTAGATCTGGTTATGTGAGAATTTGTGTGTAGGTCAAAATCAGTATGAGAATTACTCTTATGTGGATTATCTACTTTTCTATCAGTTTGTCCTGCATCCTTTTTTTTTCTTTATAGATTTCGAAGGGGGAGGTTTCTCCTCAATACATATTACATACTTCTAATAGCAATTCATTTTGTGCTCTATTTAGGTGGACAATTGTTTTGATATGTTTGTTGCAAAGTTGTGTGAAACTGTTTTCACATACTATAAGACTTGTGTAGCTAGGTAC